GCTGGGCTCGTCCTATCCCGTACCGGGAGGCGAGGCGGGCCCTGATGGGGAGCCGGTGGACGGTGTGCGCTGTGTGCCCTTGACAGGGGCAGAGCCCGCAGCTAGTGTACCGCTGGCATGGCCCTGGCGGGCGGGTTTGCTCGCCGTCCCTCCCGAGCGGCGGCCCCTCCGTCTGGGCCTCAGCGGAGGGAGCCTGGCTCCGATACAGAGGTTTTCTGGGAGCAGTGGGGCAGAGGGTGCTCGGGAGCACTGGAGGAGCCCTTGGGCTGCTCCGGAGGGGCCTCGGGGATCGCTCTCCTCCTGCCCGGACTGATTCTAAGCTTAGTTGGTTTAATGTTATTCTTTCTCAAGTCCTAAAGTATGAAGGAATAAGGCCTGACGAGATAGCGTGCTAATGGCGTACTGGTAGCACACGTAGCACTGGTTTTATGGGGTGACTTAGTAAGACAACTAACTTAAAAGTCATGAAAGATAGCTTGCCCTGGCTGTATTGCCTATATCGTGCTGTTTCTGGATTTCTAGACCCCTTGTTGAGTTACTTTAATGGTATTTGGTACTGCATTGTACTTGATTACATGTAAAGACACCTTTGCTATCCAAAATCACAGTTACGGAAAGACGAACATTCTACATGTGGTGTGTTTTATTTTTTCTTTTTAAAGTCAATGAGTTTTTTTGAGGTTTCAGTGTTGACTTTCCAGTTGACTTTGGCAGCTCTTTGAAAAAGGAAGCTCTGGAATAGTATTTAAGTAACTGGAGAGGAGAGCAGAAGGTTAACAATATAATAATATGCTGGCCTTGAAATTGAATTAACCCATAGCAAGAGCTGTGGAACTTAGATAAATGATTTGAAACGCATGATGGTTTTGCTTTATGTAGGACATTATGGTTTTAGCTCAGGTAAGAGTTACGGAGCCTAAAAGCGTTGGTGCTGCCTTTGACAATGAACTGTTAGTGTTGTTACAAGTCTTAAAGCAGTCCAATATTCATATTTAGTGAAACAGAGGTCAAATGATTGTACGTAACAAGCACTCATTCTACCTGTTCAGTGTCAGTTAAGGGATACTGAAAAGCAGAGAGGCCAAGTCATACGTGTTCAAATTCAAACTTGATGTAGTGTTGCATTACTGCACGTGAAGGAGGCCAGCAAAAATTTGTGTACTGTCATAGCAGTGTGTAAATGTTGAATTTTATCTTGCTCTGCAACTGATGATGGTCACATTCAGTTGCAGGAGGTGGTCGCCTGTTAGACAGGATTCGCAAGTGGTATTATAATGCAGCTGGATTCAACAAACTCGGTAAGTGTTTCATTGAGTTTTAAAAACTGCAAAGGTAACAATCCTCAAACTAGTTATGGTTCATAACTGGTGTATGTACGTGCAGTTTGGCATAAGTCTTTTTGATCAAAATTAGCTACTACTTATGTGGGGAAAAAGTTAGCAATAGCTTCAGTCATCATGATTGCTACCCAGTAGTGAATCAGTGACTTTTCTGTTATTTCTGTGTTTGCTCTTGTTTTCAGTGAAGTAACTTATAACAGCTAAGGTTAAGCTGGAGCAGCTGAAAAAATCTTTCACAAAATAGTCCTGAAAGCTTGATTATTTATCTTTTCCCACCAAGTCACTTTCACTGGCCAGTATCTTCTAACCCAAAGGTTGCCCTTGAAGCTGAAGAGATTTCCACTGATAGCAGTCAGTCTGTCTGGGATGGTTATGCAAAGTATCCAAAGTGCAAAAAAGCATTGTTAGTTCTGTGCTTCATGTTCACTTGAAGCTACTTGTGCTACAGCTTCACTTGATGTCTCTCTGGCCTGCGCAATGGTGAAGTAGGTGTGAAAATAGTGTTTCCTTAAGTAGAGGAGTTTGCCTTGATGGTATTGTCTTCAATTTGTTCAGTTGTTACCAAGTTTGTTTCAACTATTTAGATGGCAGAACTGTTCTTGAATGATAAGAGAATCTGAATATTCAGAGGCTGTAATTTACTGCTGACTGCAATATGAGCGAATCATTTAAAGGAAGTTAACATACCCACATTGGTGAAGTTAGAAAAAAATTGCAGGACAACTGTAGAGGAATAAGCTTAGGTCTTTTCCTCCAGAGATGCCGTGCTTAGCCCCTCTTTTTATGTCTGTCTGCTGAAATTCTTAAAGGCATTAATACCTTTTCCTGCTTTTCTGGGAATGCAACTAAAAACTGAGGAGAAACACCAAATTTGATCTATTGATTAAACTAGCAGCTATGCTCCCTGTGTCTTTGAAATAAATTACAAAACTGAATTCAAGAATATGTGGCTCAAAAGAAATTTTTGTTTTATTGGGAGACTACTGCCAACTCAGTTACATGAGATCAAAACCTTTAACCGCAAGTCAGCAGGTATACTCTTGTAATCTGCATCAATCTTGGAATGTTACAGAAGTAACATTTTGTCTTATGTTGTTAATACTGAAACTTAAGGCAGGGTTGGTTGAATTTCAGGAATCCTTTGTTCCGCAGTGTGGCGGTGTTTTTGGCTTTGAGAAGACTGGGTACTTCTCCCTGATTTAACTTTTGATTTGGGACAGGGTGGGAGGAAACCAACTGGGGAACAAACATCCAGCTTCAGGTTTCCATAGCTTAACATAGTTGATGGAGATCTAGTCACTATACACAGTGGAGTTTAGAGAATAATTCTGCAGTACTGAAGTAGTCACATCTGTGGTTGACTGACTCTAATGGATTCAGAGCTTTTAAACCCTTTACCTAGACAGTCATCTTAAATGCAGACATAAAATTAGGTGAGCATAACTTCACCCCTCAGATCCAGAATAGTTATTGTTCTGTGTGTATATATATACTCTTATGAAACACATTGAATCAAATACCCATTTTTCCCGTTCCTTCTTAAGAAAAGGAGTAGAAACAAGTAAATAGAATATGGGTAAGCCAGTGTTTAGAGTTTGTTCACTGTGAGCAATTAGTGGTTATCTTCTCTTAGATTGGTTTGTTTTTTTGTCATAAGTTTGCATTGGAAATGTTTTGCCCATGTTATGTAGAAACACCTGTGTCAATCCTAAATCTTACTTAAGAACATTTATTCAGTGATATCGTAAAATCTTCTTGGTACAGGATTAATGCGAGATGATACATTGTATGAAGATGATGATGTAAAAGAAGCACTGAAGAGACTTCCAGAACATCTTTACAATGAAAGAATATTTCGCATAAAGCGAGCACTCGACTTAAGCCTGAAACATCAGATCCTTCCAAAAGACCAGTGGGTGAAGTATGAAGAGGTATGTGTGCAGAGTGTTTCCAAAGTAGAGGTCTTAAATGGCACTGCTATAACTAGTCTTCGGGATTTTCAGTCTCTGAAGAGATACATGCTTACATGTTCTTTATAATGAGTAAATGAGTGTGTATCTCGTAGGATACCTTTGGAAGACACAGCTTTTGATCGCTGTTTGAAAATCTCTGTTTTTCAGTGGAAATTATAACATTTTGCTTAAGACGATAAAGGCTTAAACTGCAGCTCAGAGCCATAGCACATTGTTTGTATTCAGACAAAATATTTCTTCTAAGCTCTCAAATAAAGAAATACACTGTAACTAGCTTGGAAATTCTTATTAAAGGTCTCTTGCTTTTCTCATGAATTTCTTAATTTTATAGAAAAATCTCGAGCCAAAGCTTTTATTCCTGAAGATGCCAAGGAAGAATAATTTAAAGGGAAATCTCACATTAAAATAAGTGTCATCTTGTAATTTGAAAAACAAACTACGCCTTCCTTTTCAGATGTAACTAAATTTATTTTTTTTGTAGTGGATTGATTCACAGACTTTGCATTACTGTCCATCTCAGCTTTCTCCAAATTGCCAGGCAGAGAGGAATCTTACCACTAAACTTTTGACTACAGGATAGTATAAGGGTGTTACGTTTCTCTGTATAAGCAGAGGCTGTTTCTCATGGTGCTGTTGGTCATGTTTAGGTAACTGTTGCATTGAAAAACTGGTTGCATAGTTCCTTAGCAGCAGTTTGGTTTGTAAGTGTTAAACACGGTCAAGGTGTTCCATCGAATCCAAGTTTACAGTGCTGTTTAGAAGTTGAGTTCAAAATCAGTTTCTCCAAAGTATTATAGTTGGCCTTTGAACTAATTAAAGTGGATCTTGTACATTTGGGTATCTGCCAAAAGAATATTGTTTCTAAAGGTATAGCTGGAAGCATCACTTTGCTTGTTAATGTTGGCGAGGAGTTAAGAATTAGTGGTTGCTGCAGTAAAGAACTTGTCATTGCAGACTTGGCAGATACAAAGTTTACCTTTTCAGAATAAGTAATGCTTGATTTCTTTTTTTTTTTTTTTTTTTTCTTGTTAGGTTGGGTTTTAGTCAAATCTGAGGAGGAATGAGAGACAAGTAATCTGTAGGAATGGCTTGAGATGTTTCTGGACCTCCCTGTAAGTTTAAATATATTCTCTTCTTTTTCAGGATAAGCATTATCTTGAACCGTACCTAAAAGAAGTAATCCGTGAAAGGCTTGAAAGAGAAGCATGGAACAAGAAATAACTGTTGAACTACTTCATGCAAATATCCACATATTTCTGATATTTTTAAACGTTTGGTTATAGAAGTCTACAGGGAGACAAATGTGAAGCTGAGGAATACTGTTTCAACTTGTTCATTGAATCTGTTCATCCAACTAAAATAAACATGTCAAAGTATAAAATCTACTTGGAAGAGTTCTTTGTAAATGTTAACAAGCTAATGTTTGGATCTTTCCTACGAGCATGTACGTTACATATTAGCTTAGTGGTATGCAGTCTTCATTCCAGCTTTTTGATTCTTACTCTTTTCATAGTACAGCTATTTTCTGCAGTTGTAGGGTTAGGTAAGAAACATGCAAGGCTGTTGGTGCTATCTGTTAAATTAAGAAGGGAGTGCTTATTTCCTTCATCACTTCACCCTGGAGACACTGATACTGGACCAGAGCTTGATGTTACAATGGCATCATGAGGCAGCAGAATGTAATATTCTGTGCATCTAAGCACATACATATTACAATAATGGAAAATATAGATGATTCTTTAATCACAAAATCAGGAAATGTTTCACTAGGTTTTTATACCGTATACATTGTTAATCCTTAAGAGACTATTTTCATATAAACTGTAATGACTGTCTCACTTCAGCTTCTTGAGACTTTTTATCCTTTAAAAGGATAAAAAGTGGTATGCTGATGTGCTTTCAGCAGCATAATTAACTTCCCATATATTTTTTCATGGCCTAAAGCATGCTGTTTACAGTGATTACATGGAATTCAGGCTCTGCTTAAAAATAGAAGGAATTGTTGTATCCAGAAAATACCAGCCATTGCTGGCTGAAGACCTTGAGTATAGTCTCCCATAGTTTAATGGTAGTGTTTATTTGGGACAGATTTTGGTATTACACGTGAAATTCAAAGCCTATCATCTAGCCCTCTGTCAGTAGTACACAATCTTGTGTGATAGTCCCAAGGTTTAGTTTTTTCCTCTTGTTATGCATGCTTGTCTGCCAAATGCAAGAATCCATTGACCAAAAGCTAGAGCAGTTTAGAAAAAAAAAAAAATTACATAAATACGGAGCAAACTGTGTCTGTAGTTTTGAATTGGTATGACCACATAAATAGAATACTGGATTGGAAGTTAGAATGAAAACCATATTTTAGCTTTGCTCATCACTCTCATCAACCTTCATCTGCTTGCTTCAGTTGCTTACATCTGTAGGATGGATACAATGATCCCTGGGTGAAATACTTATTTCAAAACCTCACAGCCTGATGCAGTAAAACACAATGCTGCAAAAATATCTTCATCACTTATATTCCTTAAAAGTCTGTGGGGAGATTATGTTAAAAATGTGAGGTTTCTTTCATTTCCTATAATAAAATCTTATGATTGAAGCATACGTAATTTGATGTATTTTTGAGAACTTTCTAATTTTCTTCCAAGGGACAAACAGGGCCTGAAGTTTCACACTTCTATTTATGGAATTATTAGAATACTTAATTTTTCTAATGGAATTAGAACTATTACATTATCTGTTAGAATAATATTACAAGACAACTATCTAATGGAAATAGAACTTGAAAGGCATAGCTGGTCAAACTTCTACGAAAGCTAAAATTTTGTAGAAAGACAGCGTCTGCTTATTTGACCATAGGTTTGGATTAAGATTAATGTGGTTCAAAAGTCTCTCAAAAATTACTTGGTTTAGAGAAAAGGGTTTTGTTGGCATCAGGCACTTAAAAATAGGCTGACTGTTGAGTGGAGTGCAAAGCAGCCATGCTCCAATTGGTCTAACACACCTGAAATCACTGACCTCTTTACACTCAAATTTAACATTTTAAGAGTCAGAGGTGAGTAGTAGAAGTTAGTCTTTCCAAGTGATCTTCATAGCAGTTCAAGGGGAGGAGAGAAAAGGAAGCCATGTTAAGAGCTTGCCAGCTCACTGAGGCTAAGGTTGTTTGACAGCTTTCATTTAGACGTGTTTTCAGATGCTTCTGACTTGGATTGATCAGTTTTAAGTTCCCATAATGTGCAGTAGTCTCCTGTTGAAGTATTTTGAAAAAGTTCAAGGAATACTGTTTAGTTGCATCTTAGAATTATATTAGTAAGGAAAACGTATTTGTCGGTTTTGGGCAGAGATGGGTGTGTATTCTTTGAGATGTTTAGGAGAACCTAAAAATAGTGAGAAACAGGGAGGAAGGAGATGGGTGTAAGAGAGGGATATCTTGCCTGGGAACCAGGAGCTGTAGCAGTTTTGTGTTAGACTGTAAACTCTTATCTAGAATACGTGATGTGAGATTTGGATGCTTGTGCTACTGGCTAATAGATGAGTAACTTGGAAGACATTTCCTATTTCACCCTCTGGTGTTCCCCTCTGTGCACACTGAGCTACTAGCATTAATCTGTAGCTAGAGGAAACGGGAGTTTTCTTGTATGAATGGTCTGAATCCTGCTGGTGACAAGTTGGAGGGTCAGTGTGATTCCCATTTTTGAATCCTTGTGTTCATCCTTAAAAATATCTGGAATGGGAAGGAATGGTCTTGCAAAAATTAGGGATATTCAGATCTGTAATTTCCTTGTAATGCTTCCATGCCCTCCACGCAGCTCTCTGGGGGATCCTGCCGTAGTCCTTGTGCAGGCTGCATGCTCCTCTGTGCATGATCCAGGACTGTGCAGCCATGAGCTTCCTATCTGCGAAATTGCCTCATTTTAAGAAAAAGCTTGATAACAGTAAAGGGGGTAAAATTGCCAGAGGTGAAAAGATACTCTGATGATGAAGGAAAGAGCATTCTGGTTTGGAGAACTGGGTTTTCTTTCTGCTGCTGTCATGAGGTTCTTCTGTAACATCGAGCGAGACACTTGGTTCACAGAAACTCACTAAGTATTTTGCTAAACGCATAATATATGGTGCTTGGGGCTATGTCTGCAGAAGTGCAGAGCAATTGCATCTATGTCTAGGTTCAGTAGATCTGTTCTGAAAATATTAGGTGAAAGTGTTGGTAATTTGTCCATACGCACAACGGATACTACAGGTGGTGGTACCAGGAGCAAATCTCACAGGGATTGTCACAGATTTGAAAAAGACCTCACAATCCTTATCCCTCTGATGGTAAATGCAGAAATACTTATAAAGAAGCTGATACATTTGTGGCCTGTATGGAGTGCAGAAAGCAAGGTTGAGCCGTGCACTGAAGAGGATTGAAAAGAATTCCTGAATGAGAGAGGGGTTCCTACTGGGAAAAATGCAAACCTGCAATTTAAGGTCGTATCATAACGTACACGGCAATGGTGCATCTTGCATTTCCTAACTTGACTTTGAAACCTTCATCTTCATTAATGTAGTTTTTTGGATATAAATTCTATACAGATTCCATAAATTACTGAGGTCTTTTTGTAATTTGAGTTCACAACGTCTTTGGCACATCTAAATTATGTGTGTCAAATTAAGAGAGAGTCTGAGTTGATATTGCTAGCCCCGCACTTTGATGACAGTTTTAGCTTGAATTCATTTTCATTGCTTTTAAGCGAACCTGTTGTTCGCTTGAAGTTCTTTTATTAAATACATAGTGAAATATAAGAATACGTTTTGATTGCTGAAGATCATGTTTGTTATGGCAGACTGATTTCTTTAAATTTTGAATCGGTCAACTCAGAAACAATGGATTTTTTGCAGCTCTGTAACAAGAAACATATGCTTGTTTTACATCCAACTTCCATCCAAAGGAGAGCTACAGCAGATATAAATCTCATAGGAATTTTGATGAAACATCATGCTTGTCATTATAATGGAACTGTTTTAGCGTTAATATGGTAAACACATTCCTTCTTGAAGCATTTTCTCTCTAGATAGTAAAGGTCAAAGATTATCTTCAGGGTTTCCCCACAGTGCTGCTGCGCCCTTGCAGTCAGTTTTCATGGACTGAAACTTTGGCTGGGGTAAGGGCTGCCCTTGCAGTGCGGAGCAGGCAGAGGCAACCTGAGCCACCGCTGCTCTGGGGTGAGAACGGGGCTGGAACTTGGCGTCCCACCTGGTATGCAGCTGACTTGAATGCCTTGAGTGACTTCACTTCTCTTAGCCTCTTTTAGCCAGCCTAAGGCCCAAAGGGCTGAGATCTTGTAAACCCTTCAATGTCAAATAGTCCTTGGCTCACCCAGGACCTCGGAGCTGGTGGTGCTGGGACTCAGTGACAGCTGGTTTGATGCCTCAGGATGCCAGCCATCATATGTATTTCTGCTTCCCTGGCGAGGTGGGTGCTCTCGTGGCATCTGGAGAAGGACCCCTCAACACCTGCTTGCTGGTGATTTAATGCTAGTTTATGCTGGCAGGCTGTGGGCTTAATTCCTTTTTCTTCACAAAAAGGTGTGGATTCACAGTTCCCTCCTCTGCAAATGCTTTAGTTCTCTAATTAACATGTTTTCTGGAGTGCAAGTGAGGCCGTTAGTCCCTTTGGCTGACACTGTTCTGCTGTGAAAGGTGTAATTAACTGCACCAGGGGAGACTGTGACTCTAGTAGGTTGGTTAGAGCTGTTTCCTAAGCTGGTTTACAAGCTGCTTCAAAATAAGGGCAATGCTTGACTCCACCTGCCTAGAGCACTTGCCTGCTCAGGCAATTACTGCCCACCAGCTGATTGTCTTCGCTCACAGCTTCTGCCCTGCTCAGCTCTCTCCTGCAGTACCCGAACCCCGAGCCAGCCCTGGCACCTAGACCAAGGAGCTAGGTCAAGGGCTTGGGTGAGGGACTGGGATAGACCCAAGGTTAGGAAACCACGTGCAGGGATTTGGAAGAAGTGTTAAGTTGACCTCAATCCCCTTTGCCCACTTTGGGGGTATGTGGTGAGGGTGAGGTGAGGTTGGGGCATTTATGTGCAGACCAAAGATGGCCACTGGGAAGGGGGAGAAAGAAAAACATGCGGTTGAACACATTTTGGGAAATGGGACCACTGAGTAAGACAGTGAGAAAAGAGAGGTATGTGGTGGTTTGGCAAAGGCCAGGGTGCTTTGCAGGCCACTGCAGAGAGTGATGTCTGTGTGTTCTAACTTTGGGAACCCCTAGTTCATGGCACTCACTGAGGCTTAAGTTTTCCCTAAAGAATATTTAAGTATCATCCATTGAACCGGATCATGAGTGGAGCCCAAGCTGTCCTTGTGCTGCCTCCAGAGTGTGTGGATGCGACCTAAGTGTCC